GGCGGAGGCTGCGCAAGCACAGAGTCCACAAAGTTTTACAACGGGCCCGGAGCTTTTCAAGTCTGCTCTGTTTCTGGGTTTGGAATAGGAAAACCCAGGTTTTGCATCGTTCCAGACACATTTCATGGTCAAATCGCCCTCTCGCACTCTCGCCTAGGTCCCGAACGAATTCCATGATCGCTCACCCAGGTCACACACACATTCTGTAACCGAACTCATGCTCTGGCCTAAGTCCTGCAGTCGAAATCACGCTCCCACCTATATAGGTTCCGCACAGTCTGTGATGGCGCTCTCGTTTCTCGCTTGCATCCCGTGCCCGTTGTGCTTGAATGTGCAGTATCCCTGAAGCGCCGCACACACTCTCCGAGCAACTTGCGCACGCCGTGCATGACATGCTCCATCAACCCTGCCCGATTCGATCGCAGTAGTACTTTCATCTGCCGCCCGTCCCTGCTTCATCGCCTGAAAGCCGACAAGCTGGGCTCAGGCCGTCGCTGCAGTTTCTTGCTTGTCTGACCTTGGCGATTTTCTCAAGTCACGCAAAGCACGCTTGAGACCAACGGCATGAGTTGTCGACATGCAATACAGAGGTTCCAGCGCAGCCCAGACTGGCACCACGTTGTGCGCGTCGACCTTCAGCAATGCGGCTCACACATGATCAAATGTCGTCATGGGGCCAACATGGGCCAACGAAACATTACATTCCAAGCTTCGGATCGCATGCACGGAGCATACCAAGGCATAGATTGTACACCTTTGCTTACGAGCACTTCGAACCCAAGCGCACCTGCACCACCGGAACCTGTCAGGGCTCAGATCAAGGCCAGGAACAAATTCAACGAGTCAGAGTTCTAGTAGTCATGCCGAGTCCGTCCATTGTTTCTCCAGGCACGCAGCTGCAAAGCTGACCCTCAAAGAGTCGTCGAGGTCGAGGACACTGAAGGTGGAGCTTCCCAGGAATTCGGAATGCAAGAATGCCAGTTGCCGGAGCTGGGAAGCAGTTGCATCCTGACTACGCAGCTCAGGTAGTTCAAGCTCTCGCGACATGAACTGTCCGCTCACACTACACTGCAAATGCCCCTCCTCGGCCATGCAGCCCATTGCAGCCAGTGGACAGCTTGGCTGCCGGCACTGTTCGGCTTGCTCGAACTCTGCACAGCTGGAGTGACGGAGTGGCGTAGTAGGAGAGCTCGGCAGGTGCTGGGACGACTTCCAACGCTAGACAGCCATCTGGGATTAGCCTGTCACTGGTCCGTCACTTGCTTGTGGCACGGCGCCGTGGCTGTCCGAGGCCCCCTTCGACGGCTTGCTTTCCATGTTGAAACTGACGGTTGTGGGGCTGCTGAAGGCACGGTATGGCCACCAAACTTTGCTCCAACATGTATCTGCAGTTCTGCAAGGATATGAGCCTCTAAACCATCTGGTGCCAAGGTTGGATTTTTGAAACGCCTCACATGCAAAAAGGGCTCACTTTGATTCCTGGAACAGCTGTTGCTGCGCCGACGCAGCATTTGCTGCATGCTTCCGCACGGGGTTCCTGCATCCTGGCAAACTGACGTGCGCATTTTATTTTCGCAGCTCCATGCTTCGCACTGTGCATTCATGCGGGCACAGCACCCCGAAACCGTCCAAGGCTTTGCTCACCAGGAGCTGGCAGAGTCGGGCACAGCTTGCGATAAACCTCGATAAAGCCCAAGCTGCTTGCACTGCCCAAGATGAGGCGAAACCGATTTGGAACGGGCGGCCGGAAACACGCTGCCCACTTGCTTCATCGGGTCGCTGTCCCGCCACAGAAGCACGAACTCACACCAACCGACACGCTCACAACGTCGACGCCTGAGTCCGGTCGTCAAAAGCGACGTGGGCTTGTCGACGCTCCCGACAACACCACTGCACCTCCACAGCTTTGCACAGGAAACGCTTGCGTCCACGATCACTGGCCTTCCTGCTTCCTTCGCCCAAGCTGACTGCCCCCTTGCCTTGTTTGCTTGTTCACATCTCAGACACCAAGCGTACCGGTAAGCTAGCATGGCCGCTTGACTCGGTTAATGCTCCGCATAATGCCTTCTTGATAGCCTGGCATTGCCTTACCTTACCAGGAAGCACCCTCAACAGGATCCTGATGATGATGACGACGATCCTCTGTCCAAGCCTATGCCCAGTAACCATCGCAAACTCCTGGCAGGTGCGCTCCTCTTTCCTTCACAGGTTGGCCCGCCATGGCCCTCACAGTCTTTCCAACTCTGGATCTGTGAGCCAAGAGACGGCCCATCATGACCAGGCAAGAATTGAAGCGCAGACGCGGCGCGGAAGCCATACAGTGACAGAGTGCACCTCTTTGGCTTGGCATAGGTTCGCAACATCCCGCGCCCATTCGCTGGGAACCTCACGGCAAAGGCCATCATCACAGTTTTGAAGTTTCAAGACTTTCAAGCACTTTCAGCATCTCTGGCCTACGAGGCCCGCACCCGAAGTGGAGACATATCGCAAACGACCATCTGTGCTCCCAACCTGGTCGTTTCTGTCGAAATCCAGCACGGCTCAGCAAAAGCAGCGAAAAATGAACAATGGACAGTCCTTTTGAGGAAAAAATGTGTGATAGTGGATGAAGAAAGAGGACATAAAGACTTTTGAAATAAAATGGTATCATCCGTTCCAGATTCCAAAAGATGAAACAGAGTTTGATTGCCTTTCGCTCTTTCATCGTGATTTCCTTCATCGCTGTCATCAGAAATCATTATTCTATATGTAAAGTTCTTCATGAAGACTGCATCAATCTTACTTTCAGTAAGGTTACCGGTATGAAAGAAACTGTGTGGTTCGCTTGTCGCTTCATTGTAAATCTCTAATAATAACCTTTTGCTTCTGCTACATGTTTAGCGTCTGCCAACATTTACATATTTATAAGCATTGCTGACAATTTATCAAACTTTGCTTCTATCTCGCTATAACTTCTCATCTTGAAGAAAACAATTGCTTGAATTGACCCCTGTAATTCTTGACTGTGCCCTATATGCTTGAATGCTGGTAATGGCTGTCAACGCATTATGACGACCACGCACATATAACTGACTTAACAAACTTGAATGTCTGTTGAGTTTTTCATTGTCTGCCATATCGTTTTTTCAAGTTGGCAGGAATGTAAAGGCTTGCTCGCTCGTTCTTCTTCTGACACTGTATGACGTCATGGTGTCTTTCTATTATTATCTTTTGTAAACCCGATGCTATATACTCTTCAAAGTAGCACTGCTCTTTTTCAGCCTCTACTTTCATGTCGGGCGTCACTTCATATTCAGATTGGTTGAAATCATATTCTTTCACAGTTAAAATTGGTTTTTACGATGGGTTTCTCAGTACTATTAATACATAGACATGTTATCTCGCTCTTAATATATGAAAGATCATGAAGAGTTTTTGGAAGTTATAGATGAGATAGACAGGATAGAGGAACAGCGACTCTCAAATATCGTAGGTACTGTCATAGCTTGTTAGCATTGATAAAGACACTTGTACAGTGTAGAGTAAAACCGAAATAAGATAAACGGAAGACAACAACGATGGAGGGATACAAGTAAATAACGCTGGCATAAACTGTCTATTTTGTACATGCAAAAGGAGTACATATCGTAAAGACAGTATAGCAGCTGCTGACAAAAGTAGCTGTTAATGTCGTTGAAGATCGGAGGAATATTAAGTTTGGTAAAGGCCGGAATGTATCGCCAAATGATGGAAAATCAAACCGAACACCACACCACATATCGGAGGCTGAACTTTGTAGCACAGAAAGGAGTAGAAACATGAAAATAACCCGGGAAAATGCGAAGAACGACTTGATAAATTTGAAGAACCTGCTCCAGCTGTTGCAAGTGCGTTTTTGTCAGCCACTTTGTGGCTGTCCCGTTGGTTGTCCGATTCCAGCTTCACCAAGTCGAGGTTGGCGGGCACGTTGCTCACCGAGGCGATGGGCAGACGGTCGAAATTCCCAGACGGTCGGAATTCCTCTTTCTCCTCTTCCTCCGACACACTTTCCAATTGGTTCTTCTTCCTCCGACTCCTCCTGTTCGGTTGGACTAGGCTCCTCGAGGCTTCTTCCCTTGGCGGTTGCGTTTCCTCCTCCTCCTCCTCTTCGGGCTTCTGCTCTTAAGTTGGTCGAGGCTCCTTCTTCCTCAGCCGGCTCAGCTCCTGCAGCCATCGTGTCCTCCCAGTCGTCGACATCGGCACTCACTTCGTGGGCCTCGATGTCCCGTGTGGTGAGCTCTCCGCTTCCTACGGAAGAAGACTACGAAAGGCCTCCGCCTAATTGCCAGGAGCCCAGCCTTTTCTTTTCAGTTCCTGTTCTTGTGTCGCCTCCCCTTCATCTCTCAGCAGCGAGGACTCAAAATCTCGTGGATCTCGTGGCATGCTCATGCTTAAACTCTGTGAAAGCCCGCAGCTGTGTGGCGCTTAATGAGAATTACAGCTTGACGAAGGTCTCCGGGAAGCCAAGTAACTGGTCCACCACGGCTGGAACTTTGTCAGCGGCCTGAAGCACAGACTCAGGCAGTCACTGGTAGACCCGTCGCAGACATCCAGGAAAGCAGGGCAAAGTGCCTTGCCCAGCTGCAGGTGAAAGGGACTCGGCAAAATTCTCATGCGGCTTGGATTTCCAGGACTATGCCGCTCATGCCCCATGATTGTTGCAGGCAGCATCAAACATTTAGCGCCCACAGCACCCATTGATGTCGTGTTCCGCCAGAGTCCCAGAGTTGCCGGCATTTGCTTGGACTCCAGATCAGCAGCAACCTGCGCCCATCTCGCCACTTCCGGCTCCTCCCTTCGCAGCCCTGCAACAGCCTCCCGCAAACCCTTGAGGAGGAAGTCATACCTAAGCGCGTGGTGTTCAATCGCTGCATTGAAAACACACGCATGTCCACGCGGGACTAAGCTGAGGCAGCATCTGGCGCAGCGTTGCGTCCAAGAACTTGGGCACAAGGCAGAAAACGACCTGGCTTGTGATAGATAGGACATGATAGTTCCTCTTGCCACATATTGGCAGACATTGATTGTCTTACGTTTGGAAAGACAAGGCAGGTTGGCATGTAGCGGGGCGGACCTGAGCAGCGGCTGGTCAGCGTGGCCATGTCTGTCATTCTTTGTCTCGACCACGGGATGCAGAATTGATGCACGCGTCTTGCTTTGGCTAGTGAATACATAGTGTTGAGCGCGCACAGGGAAACAAGAACACGTGTCGATTCTCAATCGAGCAGCTGCGGGCGAGGATAGCAAGAATACATTTAAGGTGACGGCCGCTGAAGGGCCAACCTGACATTCAGTCGCCACTACTCTCCCATCTCGAAAATGGAATATCTGGGCCCCCAACCGCTGAGCATAGATCAGTGCCCAGTTGTCTTGTGAGCCTTGCAGGATCAAAAGGGTTAGCCGCGGCTTGCCATTGAGCACCTGGCATCCTCAGTTCTTTGTCACATGTTCTTAGAGCCCAGCGCTGATCCCGGGACATCCAATAGATAACCGGCGCTCTGCTGTCCTTTTGTCATCCACCACTGAATTTCTGTATGATGTTTCAAGATGCGTTTATATGCTTCAAATTGAGTTCCCCCGGCCTTCTTCATCTCAACCGAGTTGAGCCGTCGGCATCTTCTCACATCCACTCCTGCCGGCGGGCGCGCGGCCTTTGGGAAAAATAAACAATTTGGACTGCACAGCCGTGTTCTCCTTGCACTGGAGGCACAGACGAGGCGACGTTGGCACTCATATCAAGCCTGTCATTTTGGAGAGGGCCCGGGACGAAAGCAAACAGGCACACAAGAGGAGGCAAATGTTGGAACGCGGGGCTGAATGGGTTGCCTTGAAAAGCGCCCTGGTATGTTCAAGCGTTCTAAGGTTGAATCAGGAGGGAGCGGGGGGAGGGGCTGGGGGGGGGGGGGGGCCACTGGGGGTGGGAGCCCTCCAAATCCCCGACATGTCGGGCCCGGAATCCTTTCCATTGATTTCCAGGGAACCTTTCTGTATTTGTGACCCAGAGATCCGGTGGACGCTTTCGTGAAAAGATCAGGTGCGGCATGCTAGAAGCTTGAGAGCAGGCCACAAGCTGGAAGCATCTCTGCGTTACCATGCAGACGCCAGAACCATAGCCGGAGATGCAACGAACAACATGCCTCAAAACGAACGGAGGGGCGGCAAAGTAATTACAAGTAAGGCGGTAAGCATCCGAATGCACTTTGGCGCTACTACAAGAAGCAGAAGAGGTCGACTTCCGGAACTGACGCAGGAGTTTCACTAGGCCACGCCGAGGGCGATGGCGGGCGGGGCGAGTGGTGGCGTACAGGGGGCAACCTCGCTGTTGCTGACGAAGTCTGGTCTACTGCCCAACCTCACCAAGCATGTGCCATCATGTGCCAAATCCGATGAAGCCGTATCTGTATATCGCCTTGAGACAACTTGTCCGGGCCCTTGGAAGTGGAACTGCTACCAAGAAACACGGAACAGGCAGGGCAACCATTTCACACTTTTCAACTGGGACACTCGAGACAACTTGCCACGAGCAGGCCCCGCAGCACTTGGATGATTGTGCCAAGTATCACTGCGACTGGCAGTGAGACTTCAAGTCCGCAACAACATGGTTGACTCTTGATACTCTTTGCATCTCGTGAGCCTCTTCCCTTGGGCAAAGCAAGCAAGATCTCCACAATCTCGACGGACAGAACGGACAGAAGCCAGCAAGGCTGGAGCCAGACTCGGAGAAACGCCTGCCAAAGACTTGCAGATGCAGTCGCCATCGGGCTGGGGTTACCATGAAATACCATGAAATACCACATCCAAAGTGCCGGGCGAAGCAGAAGTGGCACCGAGACCTGGCAGCGGAGAAGAAGCACCGAGCTAAGACAGCTAAGACAGGGCCTGAAATGTCCGCTGGGCCTCTTACAGATAGCAAGAGTTGACCTGGCGCGTTCTGCACATTCCCACACACAAGCTTCTCGCCCAGCGCGAAGCCATCAAAGTGACCGAACGCCCGCTTTTTCGAAACCTGGCCCCCATGTGCCCATAAATCGTCCCGTGCCAACTCCTGGTGAATCTGACCCTGCTCATTCACTGCTCATTGCCAGCACCTCGACTCAGTCGTCATAAGCCAAGTCGAAGTGCTCCGGAAACCGGAAGGTTCGCGTCACAAAGTCTTGGCAAAAGAACAGGAGCTCCAGCAAACCGTGGCTCAATTTCGTTTCGTCGTCCGCAAAGACGACGTGGCCCTCTTCGGAAGGGAAGATAAAGCGATGCTTCCAGCTCACAGCTGGTAAGCCTGGAGCTTCTTCCCTGTCAATGTACACCTCAGCTCCGTTAAAGAGGACCTTGATGGTGACATCAGCCTCTTGGACTCCGGGGCACTGAATGCGCAAACGCTTGGCATCTCTACCACGTCGGCACTCAGATTCTACTGTATACGGAAACAATTGGTCATCGCCTGGCTTGGGATCATTTGATGAATTTGATGGGTCATTTGTCTCC